AACTGACTATTTCAGCAATAATTTTAATTTTAATTTTTTTTTTAAATACATAATATTAACTTTTATATTTTAATCGATACTTCAGTTGTATATTATATTCTTATGTTACAAATATATATTAAATATGAGACTTACTCTAGCCAAAAAAACAATACGATAAACTAATTTCTGATACAATATAAAATTACATTACATTTATAATATTGCTGCTAATAAATTAAACTGTTAGTTTATATCAGGCAAGTTCAAGTGAAAATTGAAAATAATATACCAATAGTGGTTTTGAGATTATTCACATTTGTAATATTCCCTAAATAAACTTTCTAAATTCTAAATAAAGCTTATCTACTTAAAAAGAAAAACATTCTATTTGATAACTTAATATTAATATTATTATCTCATTGATTCCCATGTTTAATTTATATTCGCAAATAACTTAATTTAGCCTATTTCTATTTTAGATAAATAATATTTCTCTCAATTCAGCTAAATATGTTTTAGAATTGACCATGTATGAAGTAATATAATTATTAATTATCATTTATCTTTATATTTTTTAGCAAGTAAGACATAGATTGAAGTGGTTGATTGACCATTTAATGTCACATCCTGAAGAAATAAGTTGTAATTCAAATTCAAGCAGTGGAAAAGCGCTCAAGTAAATATTTTATATTCAATAAATTATGTATATTTAAATACTTAATGTAACAGTTTTTTTGTCATTTATGGATTATAAATTATTTATTTAGTTGTAGACATTTAAATACAGAATCTAATATATGTATAAACCAGATGACCATTTAAATACCTACACTCATTATTTTGAAAAGTCTTAACTTTTTTTGAAACTATTCTTTTTATACAATTTTGATGTAATTTCAAAAAAAAAAAAAAAACACTTCTGGAAAAAAAAATATTTTTATGTATTTTACTTTTTTGAATGATCCTCACACATGAGACATACTAATGTTTAAATTAAGATTACAAATCATTACAAATTAAATAACAATTAATAGGATATTTTTCTCATACATATACTATACTGGTATTGAGAATTATATATATGCCGTGGCTCTAGCAAGGAAGTGGGATTTGATAGTTTGTAGTTATTACCAAGTATAGACAGGTGTATGGTAATCACATCTTTGTACGGTTGAATACATTAAGTATGATATACAGTAATAATTTTATCGATAAATTAAACAATTTCCACCACTATCATTCCAATATTCATTTCTGGCATGCTTACTAATATACACAGATTTTTTTTTATAATCTGGCTAATGTCATCACTTATTTAGATATTTTCAGAATATTATTTTAATTAATATATGATTTTCTTACATTGAGCTAATGGATCAAACATAATCAAATTTAATATATTATGGTTTGAAAAGTAGTTAGTATATTAGAATATAGTGTTGATTAAAAATTATATTATTTTTCTAAATTAATATTTCACAGCTATAATTTATTACAAATCGTTAAAAATATATTATTGTTGAACTTTAAAGATAGTTTATTAAATTATTTTTTTATTTTTTTTTCATACTTAATTAAG